TAATAATAGGAAAGGGAAAGATGCATTTCTTCTAGTCCAAGTCCTAGTTGAAGACTTACTCCTAATACTTGTCTTACCAGCAGGAAGTCGAATGGATTCTAAAAGAAGATTGAGTGACAGGTTAATGAATTCAAAAAACAACTTCCTCAGTATATACCATTTATGAAGAAATTTATTGAATTTGTTTGATAACTTCATGATTATGATTTACAACTATTGTCTGTTTTTTGGTAGGCTCGTAAAGCAGTTGAAAATACACATAATACATAATTTTGGTAGTTGTATGATCATTTAATAAAGCCATCGCCAAGTTTTCCTTCATAAAATTTTTTTATTATTTTTTTCAATGAAAAGATCTGCATAAAATTTAGCCAATCATTGTTGTTTTGATTTTTTTCTAGAGTATTTTAGAATTACACAATGAGTCTAGGTCGTTGATTATTACGGTATTTAGAAATTCCAAATTTAAAAAATTTCCCTGACTGTATTAAAGAACAACTTGAATTTAGATTAAATTTAATCAATTCTCTAACTCCAAGTTTTGATGATAAATCTTATATTACATAATAAATTAAAAATATTCGAAATAAAAATACTACTAATAAAATAAATATATTAATTAATACATAAATCAAAAAGTGGATTTAACCGTTATTTCCACATTATACTGCTGGTCAATCCCCATATAACCATCACTGATCAAAAAAATAGTGTATATATATTTTCCTTCCTTTTCTGGCGCAGTCAACTTCATTTGTACTTTATGTCTATCTCCTGAAACATCATTACGCATATTGTTTATTCTTTTCATAGAAACAATCTTATCAGTAGAAGGTTCACCTATTAATAAATACCATGACTCATACTGCTGTTTTGGAAAGTGTGGCGCATAGACCTTTCCATCATAATTCGAATTATTGTTAGTCCTTATTAGGGAAACTATAAAAGTAAATTCTTCATTTGCTATTATCGAATCATTGGATTTTTCAATCAAATATTCTACATCTATTGAAGGTATATTTCTGATGATATTACAAACCTAAAGAAAAAAAATCAAATCAAACATTGTTTCATAAAATCAAAATCAAATTATTATAATCTATGATAAATATATTATGCCTTTTTGATTTCTGAATCTGAAAGATTTTTGATTCTTTTAAAGATTTTCATCAATTTACCCTCAGAAATGTTTGTCAATTCACCAAGACAATTTATAACATGACCCTTAAATTCAAAGATAAAATTAAAATTAAATCAAGCAATCACAATCTGCCTTATAAAAATAAATCATTATACCTTTTCATTTAATATTGAACTTAACATATTTTTTGTGATTGCTGGTAAAGTTAACAATGATGAATAATCAGGCCAACAAGCTTGTTTTAAACATTGAATCACTGTTGTAACATTTAGACAAGTTGCCAGAAAATTTTTTCCTTCACAAAAAGTAATCATGGCCTAAAAATATAAATAATAAAAAATTAGAGTTTATTTATATCATTTAATAAAAATCGATAATAATATTTGTACCTGTAGAATCCTAATTGCCTGATCTAAAACTGATAGAGTATCTGTCAAATAATCAGCCATTGGTAATTTTGTTCTGACAAGATGGGCTTGGAGTAAAAGGAAAGCCTTTGCATGCGGGTTATCATATTGATGATCAACATCAACAGACCAAGGAAGTTCTTTTTCTAATTCCTGGTTTTGCAAATCCTCATTGTGTCTAACTGGTAATTCCGAATACTCCTCAGAGTTACACAAAATACTTAGAATATCTTTTACAGTACAATTGTTTTTTAATTTATCATGAAAAATATTTATAGTTTTATGTGAAAGATAATATTGTGAAGCGATTTTGCCTAAAGAAGTGGACTGAACATTTAAACCATCATTACTATCATCATCATCCTCAACAACTTCAATACAACCTGAAACCTTAAGTTTATCAACAGCATCTTTGAATAATTGAAACAAAAATGTGTCTATTTCTACAGAAGAATCGCCAGATAAATTATAATATGAAGGATTTTGTTGCAATCTACGATACAAATAAGTGCATTTGAGATATATTATAGCATCTTGCAAACATTTGATTGATCCAGAAACTATTTCAGCATTAAAATGATCTTCATGTTGCAAATGCAAACTGGATTCTACTGGAAATGGCTCATATAAAAATTTTTTATAGAAATCCTTTTTTGAATCTTGAACAAATATGCAAGCAGTACCACTTGTATCAAATTGTGGACGACCTAATTGAAAAATTCAAATTTTATTATGTATCAAAAAAATAAACTAAATCAATAATTGATTAATATAAATTCATAATTTACCAGCTCTTCCCATCATTTGAAGCACATCTGTTATAGGGAAATCTACATAACCTTTTGATTTTGCATCATAAAATTCTGTGCCTTTGATTATTACCAAGTGAGCTGGCAAATTAACACCCCAAGCCAATGTGCTTGTAGCAACTAACACCTGAATCTTTTGATGAAGAAAAAGTTCCTCAACGATTTTTCTGTCACCTTCAGTTAAACCAGCATGATGAAGACCTACACCAAACTCAAGTGACGTTTTTAAACTTTCATCATTAACTTCTAACATGATTGCTTGTATTTCTTCTTCTGGCATTCTTAAAAAATGGTACGGTTTTTCAGTTGTACAACAGTGAGCAATAAGATCTTGTGCAGTTAATCGAGTCTGACGACGTGATGAAACAAATATTATAACAGGTTTTGATGGGGAATGGGTCATTATTGCTTGAAAAGCTGGTTTGTTCATTGTAGCCATTCGTGGACAATAATGTTTCCCTGAAAATCCCACAATTTCAATTTCTAAAGGAACAGGACGAACTTGATGACTGAAATTAAAAAGTCCTTCTTCTTTGATCTCTAACCAATCAGCTAGATCTTGAGCATTGGCTAAAGCTGTAGATAATCCAACAATACGTACTTTTTTGCCTGTTTTGGAGCCTATATAATTCATGCGTGATACAATGACCTCTAATATAGGACCACGGCCTCCACCAAGTAGATGAATTTCATCAATAATAATTAAAGATACATCCTGTACATAACTTCGATATTTCCAACTACGACTTATACCATCCCATTTTTCAGGAGTTGTAATTATTATATCCGACTTTTCAATAGAATGCAAATCTGGAGTAATATCTCCAGTTAATTCCACAAGTCGTCTCTTCATCGGTATGGTCAATCTAGCCTGCCAATCATCAACACGTTCGCGAACAAGTGCTTTTAATGGTGCTATGTAAACTACCTTGGAATTTGGCATTTCATGAAATGCTCTCCTTTGATAATCAAAAAAAAAATAAAAGATTTAATCAAAAGACCTTCAATATAATAATAAGTAATAAATAAATAGATAAATAGATAAACCTACCACATCGCAAGTTCAGCAGTAACTGTTTTACCTGAACCAGTTGGTGCACCTATCAACACATTATTAGGTGTTTTGTAAAGAACATTAAAAACTTGAGTCTGTACTGGATTAAAGTGCGAGAACCTCTTTAAACAGATCTCCTCTAAGACCTTATTTTTTAATTCTGTTACAGGTAGTGGTGGTAGATTTAATAATGGTGTTTGCTTATGATTATTTTGTGGCAATTTCACATTAGATAATGTTAGTGGATGTATAACTTTTGCACCAACCCATCTATCAGAAACTATTTTAATAAAAATCTGAGGAGGTAGTGGTTCATTAACTAAAATGTTAAAACCAAGCTTTTGTGTTTCACCATTTTGCTTTCTACTTAACAAAAAATACTCTGAATGATATAATTCTACATTTTCAGAATCTTCGACCAGTATCCACCATGGTTCAACTGTACCATGAATACGATCATTCCAAACAAAGTCAGGTGTTATGCTCAATGTAATCCTTAAAATACTACGTGTAATTGGTGCTATATGTGTATCTATCTTAAGAATCGGAAATTGATCAACACACTTTGCAATAATGGTTCCCATTCGATGATCTCGAACTAACTCACCAAGTTCTTTTGGTTGCATATCTCTCATTTTTTCTATAGATGGCCTATATTTATTTGATTCTAATTTCCTTATAATGTCTTGTGGTAAACCAAATTGCAATAAAGGTGTTTCGTCTGTCCACATTTTCTTATTGATACATTTACTTAACTCCAACAAAATTGATGTAACGTGACTCCAATTTCTATTGAGTGCTATTTCAAATAAAGCTCGAACAATTCTACTTGCATTTTGGACAACAAAATGTGAATCAGATATCAAAGAAAAACTTTCAATTGGTATTCTTGACATATATGATTGTAGTAGAATATTAACTTTTCCAAGTGTTGAGTCTGGAGTTTGCTAAAATCCAAAAGAAAAAAAAGTTAAAATAAAAGTTTTCAATCTTTAATAACCAATAAATTTTATGAAAAGTATGTCAATACACACCTTTATTTGATGAGGCAAGCCACTTAAAAGTAATTTATCTAATTCTGGAGCTTCTTCTTCTCTTGATTTTAAATCTTTAAATTCATTACTTTCACATATTAAAGATATTATTTCATGCTCTGACATACGTTCTCTCAAAATTTGATTAAAAATTTCAATAGTTTGGTAACTTATATAAAAGTTTGATGCAGTACGACCAACATCATTAATAGAAAAATATCCAGTCTCTTCATGATATGTTATCATCTCATGCCGTTGAAGAACCTTGGCTGCATTCTCAATCAAATCTCTACGTCTTTTACCAAGTTCTTGATCCTCAAAAGCTTCCTCATAATTCATTCCATAAACAAGCGGATTTTTTTTCATTCTTACAAAAAGATAAGTAAATCCTAACCATCGTACTCCTTCATCAATATTTGTCACGGTACCTAAGGAGATTTCAGCATTCAGATTATCTTCAATTTGACTTATAAATCTGAAATATGATAATTAATAATAATGACAATGATTAAATCATTTTAATAACATTATAATCATCACATTTATTAATTTTGTCAAAAGTTTTTATAAATATATACCTTGATTCTATAGGGAATTGTTCTGTCAATGAGGACAAGTAATGGCTAATTTTATCTGTAGTAGTAAGAATATAACCAACACCCATAGTTTCAAGCTATTTGAAAAATAATATTTATTAGAATATTATATAGTGATTTTATAAAAAATTTATAATATATTAAAACTAAAACAACAAACATTTGGTCGACCTGCTCTACCAAAAATTTGCATGACATCCAAAATTGGTAAATCAACAAATGCACCTCTAGCTGAGTCATAAACTTGAGTTCCTTTAATAATTACTGTATAAGCTGGTAAATTTACACCCCAAGCAAGAGTTGCAGTACAAAATAAAACCTTTTTATTTAAAATTTTTTTAATTATGTGGAAAATTAGTATAACATAAATATAAATTGTAAGGTAAAGAAAATTTTTCTTTACCTTGATATGACCATCAAGGAATAATTTCTCAGTAATTGACCGATCTGATCTTAACATCCCAGCATGATGAATTCCAAAACTTATACCAAACAATTCTCTCAACTCCTTGCTTTTTGATTTCATTACTTCCTTTAACACAAAGGAATGATGAGGATGAGATGTATTATCAAACAAATCTAAAAAAAAAACAAAAATTTTTATAAATAATAGTTTTTAAAAAGATTAAGTATACCAATTAACATATAATTCATTAATTAAAGGATATAAAATTTACCATACCTGTATAACCTTGTGAAGTAGCAAACTCACGAAACAATTGTGCAGTTTTCACTGTGTCTTTTCGAGAATGAACAAAAACCATTACTTGATGCCCTTCTTTTACAGTATCTAAAACCTATTAAATAATTTCTTAAATATAGTATTTTATTTTATTTTATTTTATTTTATTTTTCAAATAAATATACTAAGCATGTATGTATACCTTACTCCAACGAACTTTATTAAGATTATCATTGGAAATGGTTGTTCCAGATTTTCATTTAGCATCAATAAAATGTTGTCCTAATGATGCCAACCTAAACTCACCATCAAAATAAAATAGTCCTTTTGTACCATTATTTAGATCCACTCTAATAAAATTACAAAAATCAAGGATTATTATACACTCCATAATATTAAAATTGAAATTATCAATATATATTGATGATTAAATTAAACAGTTTGTACCTTAAAAATTTTGCAACATCAACATAATTCAGCAAAGACCTATTATTTGAATTATTGATTGACTAGACTTGATCTTTAAAATAAAAAAAAATTATTTAATATTTATTTGATTGTTGGTTAAAAAACCTTATACAATAAAATTAATTTCAATTAAAGGCAACACATACTTGATGACAAGTATGAGCAACTAAACATTCAAGAACAGCATCTTGATAGTCATGCAATAAATGGACTTCATCAGTAAATTTTCATTGTATTTAGAATAATTAAAAATAAATAAATAAATAAATATATACCTGGATAATTCAACATCTCAGTGCCTTTGCTTGTCACTACATCCCATTTTTCAGGTGTAGTAACAATTATTTATATATTGATGATCTCTGATCTAGTTAATTTCATATCGCCTATACAATTTATAGAAACAAAAAACACAATTAAATAATTGTTGATTTGAATAATGCAATGTAATTAAAGACAGTTTCAAACAAAAAAAACCTGTAAATTCTTTAACTTGGATGCCTAACCATGCCAAACAACTACTAAATTTTTTACAATTTCTGCTGCCAATGCTTCATTATAGCAATATAAACAATTTTAAAATCTAATTTTGAAATATCGAACATTTGTGGTTCAGGTGACATTGAAGGAATCATGAATAGTACATTGTTAATATAGCAATGTTGGTTTTTCCCTATTTTAATTAAGCAATCATTTATTTTAAAAATTAATCTCACCAAATAGATATATAAAAAAAAAACAAAAAATTTTTTAAAGAAATATATTACAATGCTTGTGGGAGCACAATTTAGTTTTCTTATATGCAACCAGATAACCCTATATAAAAAATGAACATTATTATTAGTTAGCTGCCATTTAATATCATATGTACATACACATAAGTATAAATAAATATTAATATTACTACCCGATTTCATCCAATTCTATCAAATTTACTTATTTAGCAAGGCTCCGAAATATTAATTAATTAACCTGGTGTTTTTCACTTAGTCAAAGGTGACTTATTTTTATAATGATAAGAATTAAATTAAATAAAACGTCCTATCAGAAAGTTCGGCCAATCTTATTGCTTCCTTGTGACCTAACCACTTTTCTTCCTCACAATATCCAATATGTATTTTTTTATATTTAAAGAACATCATTTTAAGGTAATAAAATAAATAAAACAACAACTTGAGTTTTTACAATAATTAAAGTGCCTGTTCATAGAAACCATGTCTTATTTTAAGTAAAATCGCTCACGAAGACAATATCTTTCGTTGAAAAAATTGAAAATTTTCAAAATATTATGCTAGTACTTGGATTTTACAAAATGAAATCTGTGAATTTGCAATTCACGTTCAAATTAGCCAATCAGAATTTCATATTCAAACACCAAATTTTAATTATAAACTTCAATTTCGTCACGCGTAATTAATTTTCGTCGTTCGTAATAAATATCGTCACACGTAATTTATTACATATTACGTTTTTGGCAAAACAATTACCGTCCCATGTGTAGTATTAATCAATTGATTGAGAGACTTTGGTCTTTAGTGAGTGAACTTATCCAGAGTGTTATTGAGGAAGTTAAATAAAAGATTGATGATGCTGAAAATCTAATTCTCTAGGAAAATGAGCAATATTAGACAGGAGATATTTAGAATCTTATACCAGAAGATCTTGCATACAAAGAACCTTAACATTATATTAGGAGAAAGTCACATTTTCAATATCCCTCATAAATCTTTCATTTTGTTGCAAATTAAATGATTATTATGATATAATAATAAAGATAAGATTTTTAAATTTCAGTCAAAGAATTTATATGATGTCTTCATTCAATTACTGACTTTGAATACGGGATTGAGATTTCCTTTCTGGAATCATTAGATTAATCCAGTTTTAAGTTGTAAAGATAATTTTTTTAATGTGATTTTGAGCTTCGACTAATTGAGCTAGACCATCACTATATATATAGTTGTAATTGTTATTATAATATATTCTTAAAATATTTAATCTATGAAGATTTTGGAAACAAGTGTCAAGTTAGCTGTTGAGATTAGTTATAAATATCTTGATAGTTGAATAATCTAAAATGAATTTTATTGATCTTTCTCCAAAAGCATTAAATTAATCATTATCATAGATATCTTCCACCAATTTTTATTATAGTAATAAATTTTACATAGTTGTGTAGAGGTGGTTTCTTCGATAATTTAAATTTTAATTCAATATTATTTTTAAATTATAGTAAACAATTTATTATTACTATTATTTTGGCAGTAAAAGGAATTTTCCATATTGCTGGAATGCTTAAGTTATGCCATTGTTATTAACCAAAACACAAGAATAATGTGTTTTGTAATCATCCTCAATATATTTGAACATTTGAATTAATAGTTCAAGTTTTTAGAAATATTTGTGAAATTAGCCAATCAAATATGGAAGTGTTTGGCTAATTTTAATAGACTATTTTTTGGAATTTGTCATAGAAATCAGCTATATAAATTTTATTAAATTATATAAAAACAAAGGTAAAAATAAAATAAAAATATATCTAGTCTACAGTCTTATAAAGTTTTTAGCAAAAGTGGAATTTGTGACATTGAGAATCTTTATCATCTGTCAATAAAAAAAAAAAAGGATTATTCATAATATTTTGGGAAAAATAATTTTTTGTAGCACAATAAAAATTGATTAAAATATATATATATAAGTTAATTATGTTATCTTATTAAAAAAAAATAAGGAAATAAATCATCTTTTGAAAATAAACCAAAATACAATGATGCTTGTAAAATGATACATAGTCTGAGATTGATTAATTTTTAATTACATAAAAACTCAGTTAGAAAACTCTCTTAGATATTCTTCATTGCCATATTTTACTAGTCTCGATAACTTGTTCACATCAACATATTGATTTAGTGTGGTAGAATAATAGTAATCTGGACAAATCATGTTGGTGATGGTGATGGTTGTTCTATTCATTAAATGACTTGTATTGTAACTAGTATTGCTTGTTGTAGTAGCAGTATTATTGTTGTAGTTGTAGTAATTGTTGCTGCCATAGAACCTATGATATTCTTGATTGCAGTAATCCAATAGAATTGAAAATTCTGTATTTTCAGTTCTAAGGTTGCCATCACTGTTACCATAGATCCTTTGATATTCTTGGCTACAATAATGTGCTAAAAATGAGAATGTAGAATCTTCAATTTCAACACTTAAATTGTTAATGTCGTTGCAATTATTATAATAATAATAAATACTATTATTAATATTAATACTGTTATTAATATTATTACTATCATCTATACTATTATTATTATTACTACTATTAATATTTTTAACAATATTTATGTTGTTGTTAATGTTTTTATTGATATCATCATCATTATTACTATTATTATTGTTATTATTATTGTTATTATTATTGTTACTATCAATGTTATTATTGCTGCTATTAATTTCATTATTGTCATTGTCATCATAATTATTACTACTATTACTACTATTGCTATTATCATTATTATTGCTGCTTGTAGTGGATTTCTTTGATTTATTAATGATATGTGGTGGCCTATGTACACCATGCCTTTTATAATAAAGACCACAAGCATTACAATAAATGAAGTCAGGCATTTCCTTTATTTTTTGCCAAATTGGTGTTTCATTAACGCCGCAATTATAACATTCATGACCAGTTTTTAATTTCCTTTTTGTCATTGTTGTTGTCGTAGTTGTTGCCATGGTTGTAATTATTGAAGAAGAGCGAGAAGTAGAGTATGGTTCTGATTGTTTTCTTCTATTACATTTCTTGCTTTTAGATATGGGTCGTGACGAGGGCAATGAATTGTTACGGGCTGTAAAAGAATCTTGATTTGGAGTTGGGTTAGATTCTGAATTTAGGTCTGAAGTTAGGTTTGAAGTTGAGCTAGAATTTGTGTTTGTAGTTATTCTTGAAATTGAGTTCAAGGCAGAGGAGTAAATTCTTAACCTAATAAAAGGTTTAGAAGAAGTTATGGTAGTAGCGGTTGTAATGGTGGTAGGTGGTGGAATTGGTGAATTAATCGATCCAACAATTGAAGTGGTTGAATTAGTTGATATTAATGAATCCATTATTTTTCAAATCAAAAGTTAGTTATCAATTAATTTATATACAATATATTTAATTTAATTGTTCAAAAATTCCAATAATACTGATTTCTGTAAATCAATTGAAAATTTGAGTTGTTGTTGTAGCACAATTGTATTATATGCTACAGCAAATCAATTAAAAAGATTCAACTTTAAAGAGTTTAACGAACTTGTTTAAGCGGTTGTTATTGAGAGAACATCAAAACAACAATATAAAAATTTGAAAAGTTGATTAATTTAATTTTATTGAATTATAAATTTTCAAGTTAATTATTATTATAAATATTAAATTCAAATGCAAATATCCAATTTCTTGATTCCTGACACTTTGCTATTGCGGCAATTGCTTTACATAATTAATTCTTTTGATGCTTTATAACTTCATGGTTTCAATTAGCTAATGATAAAAAAATTGAAAATTAAAGCAATTAACCTAATAAAGTAAAGATAGGTAGGATGGTGATTCCTATTTTAAAGCATCATCATTATAGCACAATATTTGTTATAAACTATGAATATCTTTGAAGTTTTGCTGAAAAACAAACCCCTAATTTTATCAAACGCCAATTCTGGCAATACATTTGATTACTACGTAAAAAAAACAAGTAAAAAATCTAACGTGTGTGAAAATCTCTTTAAATAAATAATTTTTTATTTTATTCAAGATCCTAATAAATAATCATCAAGTAAATACGTTTGAGAATTAAAGTGTAAATAGTATCAAAATAACTAAATGAAATTACTAACTAGTAACAAAATGAATATTTGTAAAAAACTCTGGTTGGTTTAATAGTGAAGGATATAAATGATGGAAAATTTTATTCCTTGAAATGTCTCCCAACAACATCTGCATCTGAAATTTCTCATATCGGAGGTTGCTTCCTTTTATTTGCTCTTCTGATGCGTCGCATACAAACATTGCTGCCACATTAGAATCACCTTCAGTTAACATTAATCACCGCCACCATTTTTTTTAACTATATATAATAGCTCGCAAAAATAATTGGCAATTTGCTTTTGATTTGTTATTATTCGGAATATTACTTTTTAATAAGTTAATAAATAAATTATACTTAATTAAAAACATTATAATTAAAAATAAAAAAGAAACAAAAAGCAACATGTAAAAAAAAAAATTTATTTACAAAGAGCTTTATTTTTTTGAGACGTGAAGTAATCAATTTCTTAATGTATAAATTATTGGGTTGATCACAGTGGTTGATCATTAAACATAGAAAATTACTACATAGCCCTAAGAATATTATTAAAGAGTACCTTGACAGGACCCCAAAAGCTTCTAATTAAGGTACCAAGCAAACCAAGGATAAAAAACATAGAAAAGTGAAAAATCCCACTGTTATTGATAGTTTGAGATCTTGCTGATAATAATTTATTTATTATTTTGGTCTTAGTGGTCTTAGTAAAATAAAAAAGAGAAAATTGGATTTATAAAAAAAAAGTTTTGGTCTGGTGTTTTACTAGGACCGGTTGAACCAGTATATGGGAATTGTTTATCTTTGCAGTGAAAAATTTATTTTGAGCCTCAAACATGGGACTAGTTTTAGAACTTTTTAATATTTGAGCCATGAAGGGGTGATACCTCAAGGGATTTGAAATTTTAATTTTGACATCACCTCTGACGATGACATTTGAATAATCAATAAACCCTCTAACATTTCTTCAAACGAAACCCGAGCGGATGTTTTTTATAATTATGTCAAAAGAGGACAATTTTAAAAGCCTCAGCAAAGCACAAGCGGGCAAATATCTGCCTGTGTTTGTATAATGGATTGTAATGTTATCAAATCAATCTTTTACAGTTTTTAACTCATTCCCTAGTTTCATCAGGGTCTACTGCCCTTCTTAATTTGCCCTCAGCCACTCCCTCCTTAGTTAGCTTGTT